CACGGACACGCGCACACACACGCAGACGCACACACACACACACACACGGACACACACACGCGGACGCACACACACGCACACACACGGACACGCACACGCAGATGCACACACACGCACACACACACACACACACACACACATTTAAAAAAAACCTTTAATGTTTGTGAAAGAAGTTTCTTCTGCTCACCGAGAATGCATTTATCTGATAAAAATTACAGTAAAATAGTGAAATATTATTACAATGTAAAACAGCTGTTTTCTGTGTGAATATCTGTTAAACTGTAATTTATTTCTGTGATGCGCAGCTGTATTTTCAGCATAATTACTCCAGTCTTCAGTGTCACATGATCTTCAGAAATCATTCTAATATGCTGATTTGCTGCTCAAGAAACATTTCTGATTATTATCAATGTTGAAAACCGTTGTGCTGCACAATATTTTTGTGGAAACTGTGATGCATTTCATTTTTCAGGATTCACAGATGAACAGAAAGTTCAAAAGAACAGCATTTATTTGAATCAGAAATCTTCTGTAACATTAGAAATGTTTGAAATGTTAGAAATGCGTCCTTGATGAATAAAAGTATTAATTTCATTCACAAAACTGTAGTGTACCTTCAGACATTTTTCTCTATATTATTATAGTTCATCGGTTCATCAGTATTTGTTCAGCTAGTCAGCGTTGAGTTGTTTTAACTCTCTGATTGTGTTGTGTCTGTGTTCAGCCCGTCATCAATAACAGCCCCTGGATGCTGCTGTACTTCATCTCCTTCCTGCTGATCGTCAGTTTCTTCGTCTTGAACATGTTTGTGGGTGTGGTGGTGGAGAACTTCCACAAGTGCCGGCAGCATCAGGAGGTGGAGGAGGCGCGGCGGAGGGAGGAGAAGCGGCTGAAGCGCATGGAGAAGAGGAGGCGCAGTAAGACCCTGCATATGAGGAGGAAGGAGTTTGAGCGTCTCATTAGTCTCTCATCTATTCTCAGCTCAATCCATCTCCATCGTCCCGCTGCTCTCGTTTGCTTCTCTTCTTCTTCATTTTTCTTCATCTCTTTCGCTCTCGTCTGTTATCTATCTATCTATCTATCTATCTATCTATCCTAGCGACATGCTAATCATGTTAGAAACATACTAACAACATGTTAGTAGCATGCTAATCATGCTAGAAACGTGCTACCGACATGCTAGTCACTTGCTAATCATGCTAGCAACATGCTAATCACGCTAGAAGCATGCTAGTAACATGCTAATCATGTTAGAGACATGCTATTAACTTGCTAATCAAGCTAGCGAAATGCTAGTCACTTGTTAGTCATGTTAGCAACATGCTAGTTACCTCTTAATCATGCTAGCAACATGCTAGTTACTTGTTAATCATGCTAGTAGCATGTTAACCATGTTAGCAAATGCTAATCATTCTAGAAACATGCTAGCAACTTGTTAATCATGCTAGCAACATGCTATTTACTTGCTAATCATGCTAGCAACGTGCTAGTTACTTGTTAATCATGCTAGCAACATGCTAGTAGCATGCTAATCATGCTAGCAACATGTTAATTATGCTAGAAAAATGCTAGCAACATGCTAGTAACTTGCTAATCATGCTAGCAACATGCTAATCATGCCAGCAATATGCTAGTAACAGGCCAATTATTTAAAAAAACATGCTAATCATGCTAGAAACATGTTATCAACATCTATCTAAATGTTCAAACTTCAGGCTTTTACAACTGCTTTCAACTTTCAGGCTAGGCTTTCTCAAGCCAACCTAAAGTTTGTCTTGACGAACTTTTTTATCTAGTTATTGTTCATCTTCCCGTGTCGTCTGCTGCTCTCACTCGTTTATCTCTCGTGCTTTTCCTCGTTCTTCTTCTTTTCTTCTTCTCCTGAGATCCTGGGCCACATTTATCACAGCTGACCCCATTGTTTCCTCTTCCTCATTTACATTCATCCATCGCTCTTTCTGTCTGTCTGTCAGTGAAATATCAGCGTGTGGTTCCTGTCAAAGCATCAGCACACAGTAAAAAGCAATGCAGGTGAAATAAAGGATGATGTTAATATTAATAAATGTTCTGTTTGTGTTTAGAGGCCCAGCGGCTGCCGTATCACTCCTCATACAGTCGCGTTCGGCTGATGATTCACTCGTTCTGCACCAGTCATTATCTGGACCTCTTCATCACCCTCATCATCTGCATCAATGTGGTCACCATGAGCCTGGAGCACTACAACCAACCACGGGTGAGCAGCACCGTCACATGACCCGCAGCCAATCAGCTGCTTGCACACTCGCTTTGATTGATTGGTCTGGTTATTTTAGTGTCATTGGAAATACTATTATAGTTTTTATTCATATTTTGATTATTTTATATATTTTCATTTTAGTTAAAGTTTAAAAAATTTTTTTTTCAAATATGTCCATATAGTTTTGTATGTTGGTTCAGGGTTGGTGTCATCTGAGGTCCTCGGATGGGTTGGCATCTTCTCTTCTCAGGTGTTCGGTCATCTCAGATCTTTTAAGGGCTGGATCCAGACTGAAGCTTGTGTAATTCCTAGTTACCTCAGGATTCCCATCCCTTGGCAGAAACAGAGAAGCAAATAGAGAAAAATTAGTGTAGCTGCTATTCAAACCAAGCAAAGAATGATAATGTGCATTTGATCAGATATAACTGGAGTACAAGGTTATGAGAAACATTATGTGAATGCTTGGCTAAACAGATGTGTCTTTAATCTAGAGAGAGTGTGTGTGAATCCTGAACGTTATCAGGAAGGCTATTCCAGAGTTTAGGAGCCAAATTGCGAAAAAGCTCTACCTCCTTTAGTGGACTTTGCTATCCTAGGTACTACCAAAGTCCAGAGTTTTGCGACCTTAGGGAGCGTGATGGATTGTAGCGTGGTAGAAGACTAGTTAGGTACGCATTAGCTAAACAAATAAGGGCCTTGTAGGTAAGTAATAATATTTTGTAACTGATTCGGAACTTAATAGGTAGCCAGTGCAGAGACTGTAAAATTGGGGTAATATGATCATATTTTCTTGACCTGGTAAGGACTCTAGCTGCTGCATTTTGGACCACCTAGAGTTTGTTTATTGAAGATGCAGGACAACCAGCTAGCAGTGCATTACAATAGTCCAGTCTAGAGGTCATGAATGCATCAACTAGCTTTTCTGCATCAGAAACAGGTAACATGTTCTGTAACTTCGCAATGTTTCTAAGATGGAAGAATGCTGTTTTTGTAACACGTGAAATAGAATTTTCAAAACAAAATCAAAAGTTGCTGTCTAATATAACACCCAAATGACTGCAGAGGAAGTAATAGTACATCCATCTAGATGCAAATTGTAATCCAAGAGATTCTGTGTATTGTTTTTTGGTCCAATAAGTAATATCTCTGTCTTATCTGAATTTGATAGGAGAAAATTATTAGTCATCTAATCTTTTACATTTTTAACACACTCTGTTAGCTTAGATAATTTAGAAGTTTCATCTGGTCTTGTTGAAATATATAGTTGAGTATCATCAGCATAACAGTGGAAACTAATCCCGTATTTTCTAATAATATTACCAAGGGGCAACATGTATATTGAAAATAGCAGAGGACCTAGGACAGATCCTTGTGGCACTCCATATTTTACTGGTGATAATCGAGATGATTCCCTGTTTAAATAAACAAAGTTGTAGCGATCGGACAGGTAGGCAGGAAGGAGCACAATTGAGCTGACGTATCTTTTTCTAAAATTTTAGACATAAATGGAAGATTTGAAATGGGTCTGTAATTTGCCAGTTCACTAGGATCTAGTTGTGGTTTCTTAATAAGAGGCCAGCTTGAAGGATTTTGGGACGTGACCTAAAGATAACAATGAGTTATCAATATTGGTTAATAATATTGAGACGTGGTTCTGCTACAGGTAACAACTCTTTCAGTAATTTATAGTTGATATTAGTAATAGGCAGCATGCACGATACAAGGTAGTGATCAGTAACATCATCACTTTGAGGTACAATATCTATTTCAATTCCATGCGATATAATTGCATCTAGCATATGATTAAAATGCAGCAGAAACCTCAGATTTCCTAGTTAAATGTGTATGTTAATGAACTCATTATTTATTCATAAATAGGATGCATGTGCACACTAATTCACAATTAGCATTACATATTCAGGAACACTGTGGGATCTTCTCAGGTTTTTATTATAGTTTTTATTAATATTTTGAATCAGTTTTTTTTTTCACGTTTTCATTTAAATTTGAAAGTTTTTAGCAATTTTGTTGTGTGTTTTTGTAATTTAAAAAAAAAAATATATATAGTTTTTATTAACTATTTCAGTTAATTTTAGTTATCAATTTTCAGTTGTCTATTTCAGTTCAAATTTTTGTTATTTTAGTACATTTTAGTACATAAGTTAATGTTCATTTTATTTCAGGTAATTTTTTATTTATTTATTTGTTTTAGTTATAGCTTTTTTTAACCCTGCATTGTTGCTGTTTTCAATCAATTTTGTTATTAATTACATTTATTTTTCACATTTAATTAATTATGTTTTTGTTGTTATTATAATAATAATTATCATCATCATCATCATCATCAACAACAACAAACTATTCTATATACATAACCTTTTGTCAAAGCTATACTCTGATTGTCATGTCAATAAAGCTGAAGTGAATTCAAATAATATCATCAGTTTGCCTAAAAGAACACCGCGTTCAGATGTTTAACACCATTTTCTTGTGCTCGGCAGCAGGTGTAAAATAGTAAATAATACTCTGAGGAGCATCTACTGTAATCAGAGCGACAGTAAATCTGGAGTAAAGGCCTGTGTTGAGTTTCTTCTCTCTGGTTTCTCTCAGTCGTTGGAGACGGCGCTGACATACTGCAACTACTTCTTCAGCTCCACGTTTGTGGTGGAGGCCATGCTGAAGCTCGTCGCGTTCGGCTTCAGACGCTTCTTTAAAGACAGGTGAGCAGCGTCTGAAATAACACACAGCAGCGCTTCCAGAGGATCTCCGGTTTGTCCGTTCAGTGCCGTGACGATGATTCTGTCTCTGCAGATGGAATCAGCTGGATCTGGCCATCGTTCTGCTGTCTGTGATGGGAATCACTCTGGAGGAGATTGAAATAAACGCTTCGCTCCCCATCAATCCCACCATCATCCGCATCATGAGGGTCCTGCGCATCGCCCGCGGTGAGCATCAACACCGCATTATACACACGCGCCGGGAATTCAGAGATAAAAACGTTAATTTATGCATTGCATTCATTTATTTAAAAATCATTTATGCACTTAAAAGTATGCACTTAGTATTAAATGCAATTTGGACTGAGAAGAACAGTAATTGACTGAGGAGGTTAGTATTGTTTCAAGTGAATCATGTGGATCCATGTGCTTTAAATTTATGTTTTATGTTTATTCAGATGCTCTTTTAATAATCTATAATGTGAATAATTTATAATTGTTGTTTTGTTTCGAGAAACTACTAATTAAAGTATTTTGAAAATATAATAATGTTAATAAAAAAATTCTAAAAAATTCTAAAAAAAATAAAATTAAAAAATAAAATAAAAAAAAATTCTAAAAAAGGCGAAAAGAATAATTGTTCATTTAATTTACACTAATAAATAAATATTATTGGGAGTACATTTTATAATAAAATACTATATCATTCTTTCTACTTAAAAATTCCCATTTAATTCAATGTGTTACTTGCCGTTTCTTTGTAATTATTTGTGAAATTGATGGTAACGCTCAAAGCCTTTATGTATAATGTATTATAAAGGTATTCATAATATATGTTGTAATGCATTACATCTTTTCATAAATAATTCTATCCAAAGCTAAAAATGCAGATTCCTTCTTACTCCTGACATTGGTAGTTTTTGTGTGTTTTAATGCATTATATTTAATGCATACAGTATATATAATGGATACATTTTCTAATATATTATACCTGTGGTTACAATTATTCATGAAATCATTCAGTGCATAATAAGGTGCATGACAAGTAGTAATTAATGCATTAAAATGCCTTTGAATTCATTATATAGAAAGGCTTTAAGTGTTACTAAATATACTAGGACTTTTTGAGTGGAAATCCTACACCAGTTTTTTTCAGTGAAGAAATGGAATAAACAAATGAAAGGGCATAAGCTGAATGAAATGACCCAGTTGTGTCGGTGAGGTAATGTACCGTGATCTGACTGATGCATTCCAGTGCTGGAATCTGTTTTGGAGCGTTTGAGCATTTTTAGATGAAAATCTGAATTGAAATAAAACAAAACACAGAGCAAAAAAGTGTGTGAGCAGTAGTGAAGCAAGAAACACAATCAATCTCAGTCTGATCTGAAACCTCCATCAGCGTCTCTGTCATCTCAGTCCTGCCTCTCGTGGATGTTTCTGTGTGATCCTCATTTAGAGAGACTCAGATTGAAGTCCTCTGAGATGTTTCTGTCTCTCCCGTGACGTTCAGTGTGATTTTGTCTCAATTTCACAGTTCTGAAGTTGTTGAAGATGGCCACAGGAATGAGAGCACTGCTCGATACCGTGGTGCAGGCGTTCTCTCTCTCTCACACACACACACACACACACACACACACACACACACAGTTTGATGATAAAATGACATGATTTTTGTCTGTCTATAATAAATACTCACTTACTAGATGATCTTACTGTTATTTATTTACTGTTTAAACTTATTACTACACTAATTTATTATTAATAAAATGCAATATTTGAAATGAATTTGAATTGGAAGAGTTTATTGACACTTTAAACAATATATAAATTAGAATCTTTAAAAAAAGTTTGCATATGTGTTTGTTTTTTTGTTTAGCATCATATTTGACTCATCAGGCTTTTATGGCTCATATAGTCTGATGCAGTGAGAATATGAAGGAGAAAACACCTCGATTTTATTCAGAGACTCAAACTCAGCAAAAATATGAATTTGCTGCAGATGCTGATATTTATATGATGAAATTCTGATTCTTGTGATGTAAATCAATGAGATCTTTATAAGAGAACAGCAGATACTGACATAAAAGTATCTAAATATCAGTCGTGGCTCTATATCTCCAGTAATAAGATGAGATTGAAATGCTCCAAACATATAATGCAGTGATTGAGAGCTGAAGAAATAAAGGCTCCTCAGAAGATGTGAGATGTTCTGGAGGCTTGTGAAGATCATTCCTCCGCTGAGGAACAGTGAAAGTAAAGCTTCTGGAAACAAACGCTCCTCAAAAGATCCTGAGGATCAGATTTGAGACTCTAAAACATGATTGATGGAGAATCAAGTAAAGCTGAGCTGCTTCAGTCCAGTAAGTGTTCATCTGGAGATATTACTGCAGTTATTCTGACCTTTACTTGATCAAAATCACAGCAGAAAGACACGAGAAGCTCCAGCTGAAGCTGGACGCTTGTACAATTACACTAAAAGAGCTTTGACTGGATAAAACACTCTAAACTATCAATCAGAGACAGAAGGCATGGAGTAGATTGTGTGCAAAAAAGGTGTAACAGCAAATTTTGATTGTCAGTCATTTAGAGGCCTTAGAAATTTGCGTATAAAATCCAGCAGATCCTGATGAGAGTCTGAACAGACAGATTTGATTTCAGCATCTGCTCAATGACGTTCAGTCCTAAAGTTGTAAAGAATCATGGGAAGCGTCTGGCGTGTAAATGAAGCGTTAGACGTGCTCTCATCACGTCGTTTCAAGAGTCATTGAGTGTTCAACACGGCTGTGAGCAGCTCTTGAGTGACACACTTCACACTCATAAACACGTTAAACAGATGGCGTCGATCTACAAACCTCCTTTCGCTGGATTAACTGCCCTGATCATCACACTTCAGTCCTGTAAATGTGTCAACAGTAGCTTAATTCATGTGATTTAGGATCTAGATTTATATAAAACTGCTATGTGCATTTGAGTCACACGTATGTGAGGAATAAAGTGCACAAGCGTTTGTTTTCTCAAGCTCTCGCCGGACTCAGATGGGCTTCCGGCACGTCTAATGGAAATTAATTAACCTTGAATATAAGCAATAAAGCAGCTGTGAGCGCATGACCAGCACAAACCTCACTCTGGGAATTAAATGACTTTGTGTGTGTGTGTTTTGTTCAGGTGGGGAATCTGGGTTTGCTCTTCGTTCTGTTGTTCTTCATCTACGCCGCGCTCGGAGTCGAGCTGTTTGGAGAACTGGGTGAGAGAGAAACACTTCAGTCATAAAGTACCTAATGATCTGTTTGCATATGCATTTTTATCTTTGACTTTGACATCAAAAGTGACAGTAAAGACATTTCTAATGTTACAGAATATTTCTATTTCAAATAAATGCTATTCTTTTGAACTTTCTATATTTATCTGTTAATCCTGAAAAATAAAATGTATGACGGTTTCCACAAAAATATTGGGCAGCACAACTGTTTTCAACATTGTTAATAATCAGAACTGTTTCTTGAGCAAATCAGCATATTAGAATGATTTCTGAAGATCATGTGACACTGAAGACTGGGGTCAAAATGATCAATTTATCTTTTATGCCAAAAATCATTAGGATATTAAGTAAAGCTCATGTTCCATGAAGATATTTTGTAAATTTCCTACCGTAAATATATCAAAACTTAATTTTTGATTAGTAATATGCATTGCTAAGAACTTCATTTGGACAACTTTAAAGGTGATTTTCTCAATATTTAGATTTTTTTGCACCCTCAGATTCCAGATTTTCAAATAGTTGTATCTCGGCCAAATATTGTCCTATCCTAACAAACCATACATCAATGGAAGCTTATTTATTCAGCTTTCATATGATGTATACATCTCAATTTCAAAAAATTGACCCTTATGACTGGTTTTGTGGTCCAGGGTGTACGACCAGCAGCCATGATGCATGAGAGATATTTAGCTGATTTCATGGTTTCTATTTTAGTCGTATTGCACTGGTGTGGATGAAATGACAGTCAAACAGAACTGGATAGTCTTTAGTGTGTTTGTGCTTACAGGACACGCTGCGCGAGTGTCTGCCGGGCGACAGCTACTCGTGTAACACCAGCCTGCAGATCATCTCGCCCATGTACTTCGTGAGCTTCGTTCTGACGGCTCAGTTTGTCCTGATTAACGTGGTGGTGGCTGTGCTGATGAAGCACCTGGACGACTCCAATAAAGAGGCGCAGGAGGACGCAGAGATGGATGCGGAGATCGAGATGGAGCTGGCGCAGGGCGGCCTGTGCTGTCTGGGGCGTCCGGAGCGCTCGACCGGGGCCGATGCGGGCGAGAGGCCGGCGAGAGGCTGCGGAAACAGACAGACGGTTCACACACACGCCAGCACCAGCCAGAGCGGATTGACACCACACAGAAACACACAGGACACGCAGAACCAGAGGAAACTCTACTCACCGGCACAGGTGTGTCTCGCACTCGCTGACATACTGAACACGGGACACAGAGGACATCACAGCCTGTGCCATTTGCTGTAAAGAAACAATCATAACGTTTGACTAAAGTCAGTCCGAAAACATAAAACAATAGATTTTTGAGATTTAAACCAATTCAAGTTTGAGAAACTCCCTCTGACTTAGAATGGAACTGAATGGCAGTCGTGGTGTCATCAAATTTGCATACCGAGTTATGATTGGTTTATAACGTTGACGTTACAGTTACTATAACATTAACTGTAATGATTACTATAACCAATAATTGTATCAATAACTATGATAAATAAATGATAATGAAAAATGTAATGATAACTATGAGTATAATAACCGATACTGTAACCGATAACTATTATAATGACTATAATAAAGATAACTTTAGCTATAACAATAACTATAATGTTACCTATAACTATAACAATAACTATAATTATAACATTAACTTTGATAACTATAACCATAACAATATAACTGTAATTGCAACGATATATTATATATAGGATATATTATATGTAGTTATATAGGACATCACAGCCTGTGTCATTTACTGTAAAGAAACAATCATAACGTTTGACTAAAGTCAGTCCGAAAACATAAAACTATAGATTTTTGAGATTTAAACCAATTCAAGTTTGAGAAACTCCCTCTGACTTAGAATGGAACTGAATGGCAGTCGTGATGTCATCAAATATGCATACCAAGTTGTGATTGGTTTATAACGTTGACGTTGACGTTACAGTTACTATAACATTACCTGTAATGATGACTATAACCAATAATTGTATCAATAAATAAATGATAATGAAAAATGTAATGATAACTATGAGTATAATAACCGATACTGTAACCGATAACTATTATGATGACTATAATAAAGATAACTTTAACTATAACAATAACTATAATGTTACCTATAAGTATAATGATAACAATAACTATAATTATAACGTTAGCTATGATAACTATAATGATAACTATAACCGATAACTTTAAAAACAACAATAACGATAACTTTAACAATGTTAAGTATAAGTCTAATGATAAATTATAACTAATAACTATAATTATAACATTAACTTTGATAACTATAACTATAACTATATAACTGTAATTGCAACGACAACTATAAATATAAAAAGATAGCAAGAAACGATAACTATAATAACAATAACTTTAACTATAATATTAGCTATAATGATAACTATTATCGATAACTATAACAATAATAATATCTTAAACAATAATGGTAACGATAAGTCTAACAATGATAACTATATTGGCGGATGATAACTCTCTGTTTATTTCATAATTGCGCTGTAGTTTTGTCGTCTGCCGCTTTAAATGCTGGAGCTCATTAAAGTCGGATAGATTCTGATTGTCTGTCAATGTTTTTAGCATTTATCATCTGGAAAAAAAAATCCTGGACTTTGCTATTCTCTTAGAGCAGTTATTAAAACTTATGTTTATGGTTATAGTTATCGATCACGGTGTGAACGGACCCTAAAACCTGAACTGACCTCAAGCTTTAAGACTGATCTGCTGTTGCTGCGCAAACACTGAGATTCACTGCAGCAGACGAACATATAGCTCAGATCTGATGCAGTGCTCCATTTGTCTAGTGTGATTTACTGTACTGTAAATGATGAGTGTCATTAGAGCAGGTGTATTCATGAACAGTATCTACTGTATACTGAGATGATAATATTCCCCTATAATCTCACTGTAAACGTTTTGTTTTTGAAGCAGGACAGCAGTGAGTGTGAGTGTGAGTGTGAGTGTGAGTGTGAGTGAGTGTGAGTGTGAGAGTGAGTGAGAGTGTGAGAGTGAGTGAGTGTGAGTGTGTGT